TGAAAATATACAGGAGTTACTGGGGAAATCTGACAAACCCATAACAAAAGTTTTACACCCTGTTAATGATTTCATGCAACTCCATGTGAAACCACGAAGAACTTAACAGACAAGTTAGCAAAAGGAAGTGGCCAATTCCCTAAAAACTGAAGTTGGAAAGAACAAAAGAAAGCTGGTAACATGTTGGGGGGGTGGGGGGAACAACTTCACTATCAAAGAAATTCAAAATAAAACAGCAGGAGCCAGTGCTGTGGCTTAGTGGGTAAAGCTGCCACCTGCAGTGTCAGCATCCCCTGTAGGCGCCCGTTCAAGTCCCAGCTGCCTCACTTCTGATCCAGCTCTCTGCTATGGCCTGGGAAAGCAGTAGAAGATGGCCTAAGTCCTTGGGCCCCTGCTCCCACATGGGAGACCTGGAAGAAGCTCCTGGCTCCTGGCTTCAGATCAGTGCAGCTCTGGCCATTGCCACCAATTGGGGAGTGAACCAGCGGATGGAGAACCTCTCTCTCTCTCTCTTTTTTTTTTTTCCCCTCTCTCTCTCTCCTTCTCTCTCTATGTAACTTTGACTTTCAAATAAATAAATAAATAAATCTTAAAAATAAATAAAACAGGGAGATGCCTTTAGTTAAAAATTAGTGCTCAGGAAGTGGCAGGATGGACATGCATGTATGAACACAGCTGTGGAGGAAGGTAAATTGGATTAACTTCTAGAAACCAATTTGGCAATATGTATAAAGAGCCTTTAAAATGTTTATACCTTTTGATTCAGTAATTCCACTTCTGGGAATCTAGCCTATGAAAATAATCTGAAATGCCTGCAAAGGTTTATGCTCAAAGATATTCTTCAAAGTGTTATTATAAACACACTAGCAGGCCAATCGTTAAATAATGTTCAAATAAATGATGCAACATATCACGTAGCATTGTAACCATTAAAAATATTCTTATGGGAATTTTTAAGGCCTTCGGAAAACCTTGTGTTGCCAGCTTAATTATTTTAAGATCTGTTTACATATGACATGAATGCACACACTTTTGAAGCATAGGTGGGAAAAAAAACTAAGCTAAAGAAAAAAATCTACAAAGCTGTTAAAAAATGGTGGCCTCCGGGTGGTGGGATCCTGGGTGTTATTTTTTGTTCCTTTGACCCTTCTTTCCAACTTCAGACAATGGGCGTATGCCAGTATTTTTAGAAGGAAGGAAAGTAAAAGAAGCTGCAAGTCCTGTTCAGGGAATGACAGGTATTTGGTGTGTGAAGCACTCGAGGGTTCACGGAGGCACACACTGAGATGCAAGGTGTGCACAAAGCACAGCCCAGCTTAGATGGGTGCCAGAGATGAGGGAGACCTCACAGGTTGTTGAGTTTGCTAATGTTGTCTGTGATAGGGCTAAGAATGACAGTAATAGATCCTAACTGTATTTAATGATCACCCGTGATAAGACATAGGGGAAAAGTGCTTGGAAATGAAATCATCAAGCACAGGGGAAGAACTTTTCTTATTACCTGAATTGTCTCACCCTGCAAGAGTGGCAGAGAGAGCAGACAGTGTCATGGGACTTAGAAATCCAGGCACCACTCTGTCCTGGTTGTTATAAGGCCATGTGAGCCGACAGGTACAGTGAACCTGTTCCTGGGCACCCCGCAGATGCCCCCATCAACCCTGAGGTCAGTGCAGTGACTCCCACCCCCTCCTCTCTGTGGGGGAGACTGCACCTGCCACAGACCAGCACCCCCTTGCTGAGAAAGCGTTTCACTTGCCAGCTCCCAGGAGGACATGATTGACAAGTGAAGAGCTGATGCACAGAATGAAAGCTCCAAGGTGAATTTGGCATTTACCTTTTAAAATGAACACTGTCTCGTTCTGCCTTTCCCTTGGTGTTTTGGCCCTGGGAGTTTCTCTGAGAATATCTGGGACTGGGGAGGGTTTGAAGGGTGGGGGTGGATTTTGTGTTGCCCTTCACTTGGAATGCAGAAGGTATTTGGGAGAAGCCTTGTCTGAGGCCCAGGAACAGATGGGGTGGCCTTTCTTCCCCTTCTCTGTAAGGAAGAATGAGGTAGAGGCGACTCGGCCAGGGAACCACAAACATTTTGTCACAAAAAAACAAGCCAAAGAACTGAGCCATTGACCTTAAGCTGTGGCGGGTTTCTGATGACCAGAGCCCAGCTGACGCAGCCTCTGATTTCAGCTGGAATTGGGTTTGGATGTGCATTAATCTTCCATGGCTGCTGTAACAAACTACCACAAACTTAATGGCTTAAAACAGCCAAATTTATTCACTTTTATGGTTCTGGAGGGCAGAAATCCATTTCTCTGGGCTGAAGCCATTCTGTTGGGCGGGGCTGGTTCCTCCCGGAGGCTCCAAGAGAGAATCTGTTCCCTTGCTTTTTCCAGCTCCTCATGGCTGCCTGCACTCCTTTGGGCCTGGCCCCTTCCTCCCATTATTCCATATTCTTGCTTCCATCATCACATCTATTTTTTTAAAGAATTCAATATCTTCTTTTTAAAACTAATTTATGTGAAAGGCACAGTAATAGAGAGACAGAGCTCTTCCATCCACAAATTCACTTTGCAAATGCCTGCCACAGCCAGGCCTGGGCCAAACCAAAGCCAGGAGCCTGGAACTCCATCCAGCTCTACCCCGTGGAAGGCAGATATTCAAGTTCTTGAGCCATCATCTGCTCCCTATCCAGGAACATTAGCAGGAAGCTGGATCAGAAGCATGGAGTAGCGGGACTCAAACCAGCACTCCCATTTGGGATGCGGGTGTCTTAGGCAGAGACTCAACCTGCTATGCCACAACATCCGCCCCACACATCTCTTCCTTCTTCCTTTCACTTTCTTGCTTCTTTTTCATGAGGATCTGTGTGGTCATCTTGGACCCACCTGGGTAATCTTTTTCATGAGGATCTTTGTGGTCATCTTGGACCCACCTGGGTAATCCAGAAGAATCTTTCCTCTGAAGACCTGAATCACATCAGCAAAGTCCCTTTAACCATGTAAGGCAAGACGTTATTCCAGGAGATAGGATGTCACATTATTCAGCCATGGATAGCTAACCAAATGTTCAGACTATTCATGAACCCTGGTGGGGTAGACACTGGCTAGAGCTGGAGGAACCTCGAGGCTCAAACAACCAGTTGGAGATGATGAGGACTTGCACACATGTTCTACAGCCAGGTAGTCTGGAACCATGGCCAAGTGAGGGTGGGGAGCTGTGAAGATTGTCACAGGCTGTGTCTGTGGACCTGGACAGATAGCAAGTGTACCATCACATGAATGTTGCGTGGCCCTGCAGCCTGGGTGTACATGGAGACAGAGACAGTGAGACAGCAAAGGAATCAGGCCCAGATCACAGGAGGCCTTGAATAGCAAGCTAAAGGGCTCAGATGTGATTTTTTGGAAGGAAGTGGGACTGTTTTCTCATGCTGTGGAGCAGAATACCTGGCCAGGCTGGAGGCCAGTCTGACAGCATCAGGTGCCTACCTGCTGTCATCTGACAAGCTGAGCCTCCTCTGGGCTAGCCTGGAAAAGAGGGCACAGGGCCACCTCCCACATTGTCCCTCTATGAGATGGAAAGGCAGCTTTACAGTCCGACAGGCTGGGCCTGAGGTCCAGTGCTAGCTGTGTGACCTTAAACAAGTCGCCAAACCTCTTGACCTCTATTTCCCTGTTGCCACTAGGACTTGCCTAGCTTCCTCACAGAGCCAGAAGTGCTAAGGTAGACAGAAGAATTCTAGAAGTGAACTGGCTAGAGTTGGCATTGATTTCAGTGCTGTTTGGGACAGTCCGGTGAATGGAAGATCATGAGATTTTTAGGGATTGAAGGTTATCTAACTTGAAGAGCCCCACATCAGAATCAGCTGAGTCATGCAGCCGGGCTTGGAGAAGCCCATGCAGACATGAGGCTCAGGGACACTGGGGATTTGCCCTTCCTGGCTCATCCTCTGCCCTTCCAGCTGAGCACTGAGGTGTGTGGGGATAGAAATGGGAGACTGTTGTGGCACCAGGTACCACGGTGATGGGGCCAGAAAGCCAGGCAGAAGGCAAGGCAGCCACACTTGGGGGTCAACCCCAGTGGGCTCTGCCTGCTCATCTCCGCAGGGACCAGAAAATCCCAAGTAGCAGAAGACAGCCCCAGGCCTTGCTGGAGGATCCCAGGCAAAGCCATTCATCCGTAAAAGAGGCTAGGCCAAGCCAGCCCTCTCCCTGTAGTCTGAATCTCTGGGGCCTACAGATACCTGAGTGGCCATAGGTTAATTCAATATCATAGTGCTTCATTCTGAGTACAGAAACTAATACTGCTAATGTGTTCACTGTAAACTGCCCCTTCTCCCACTCAATAATGTGATTTCTCTAAGAATTTCAGAACTGGAGCAGATGTTAAAGATATAGTCAAAATCCCTCCAGACAGAGGTGGGACATGGTCAGCCTCACACAGCCAGTCTTGGAGGAGCCAGGTCTGGGCCCAGGGCCCAGGCTCTCAAACAGTGCTGTTCTTCACAACGGGAAGTGCTATATGTTTCTAGAATCTACTCAACAAATGGTAGAATCTGAGGTCCAGAACATGGTTGGTAGGGTGTATTGGACAACATATGCTAGCGGTACCCCAGAAGTGACCTTGAGGATAGAGTTGTCTGTGCAAACGAGACTCCACCTGTAGGCTGTCCACCTGGCACGCTAAAGCCATGGGTTTGGGAACCCTTGAATGTTTGGGGAATGTGGAAAAACCTCAGCTACTCTGCCTGTTACCCACCATCATGAGAGTGTGAGATCCCCAGCAGGATGAGGGCAGAAGAAGGGCTTGGACTTTCTCTCAGCCTGCTGGAGTTGGCCCCGGTTGTGGCCAGATTGACAGGAGGTTGCTTCGGTCATCCCTCGGGATGGACACAGCAGGGCAGGTTAATGCTGTCCCCGCAGCCTTCCCACAGGGCTGATCAGTCAGGCCAGAGGGTGCCTAGAGCCACCCAGACTGACCATGGTGTGTGTCTTTGTGCTCTCCAGGGACATCCCCAGGCTCCAAGATGGCCCTGCAGAGTTCCTTCACTTGTTGGAACGGGACAGTTCTCCAGCTTGGGCGGGCCTGCGACTTCCACCAGGACTGCGCCCAGGGAGAAGACGAGGGCCAGCTGTGCAGTGAGTAACAGGGGCTGCTGCCAACATGCCCCAGCCCAGCTCATGCCCTGCTACCCCATTACCCCAGGCACACAAGCTTGGACAGCCCTCCTGACCCCAGGGGCACTTGTGACTGCACTAGAACAGCACAGTCTTCCATGGTCTGCAGCCACATGAGTTAAAACCAAAGATCTTGTAAGCTGTGCTGGCAGCATCCTGGGGCACAGAGAAACTGTGCAGGATGCAGCCCACCCCCATAATGGGACGTGCAGGACACAGCCCACCCCCATAACAGGACTTGCAGGACACAGCCCACCTCCATAACAGGACGTGCAGGACGCAGCCCACCCCCATAACAGGATGTGCAGGATGCAGCCCACCCCCATAACAGGACGTGCAGGATGCAGCCCACCCCGTAACAGGACATGCAGGACGCAGCCTACCCCGTAACAGGACGTGCAGGACACAGCCCACCTCCGTAACAGGACGTGCAGGACGCAGCCCACCCCCGTAACAGGATGTGCAGGATGCAGCCCACCCCCATAACAGGATGTGCAGGACGCAGCCCACCCCCGTAACAGGACGTGCAGGACTCAGCCCACCCCCATAACAGGACGTGCAGGACGCAGCCCACCCCCGTAACAGGACGTTAGAAGCTCTGCACGCTGGGACTCCTCTTCCTTTCCAAGCCTTGTCTTTCATGACCCACCTGCCTTTCTCCTCCTCCCCGTCTTCTGTGTGCCCCTGCTCCAGCAACATCACTCGTCTGTGTGGCTTCCAACTGCCTTTGGGAAGTTGTCTGATGCCTGCATCCCAGCCGGGATGCAGGTTGAGCAGGCTGTGCCCTGATTTACAATTGGGAAAATGAAGGTGCAGAAACGGTCATTGATTTGTTCAGGGTCACACAGCCTCTCAGGGACACAGCTGTGGCCAGAGCACCAAGCCCAGGGCATTTTTCCATCACTCCAGAACTTTCTATGATGGGTTTCCAGGGGATGTTCTGAGCATTTGTAAAGCAAATTCGTGGATGGCAGTGATCACCCTCCTCCATCCCTCAAGTAAATAGAGAAAGAAAATTTTTAGAAAACGAGCCCTACTAGCCAGTGACTAAGCAGTGACTCAGACTCTGTCTGACTCCAGAGCCCACACCGTGAACCCCTGAGATGGAACTCACTTGTTTTATGGGGTTCTAGCATTTGGTTGTGCTAAGCCGTGCACCTAGGAGAAGCTAAGGAGGTACGGGGTTCTGCCTGCACCCTCTGAGGAAGGGGGAGTTGGCCCACTGGCCTCCACCCTCTGGGTCTCAGCTTCTTCATCTCTAGCATGACACCTGCTGATGACTGACGTCTGAGAAGCACATGGTCATGTCAGCCAGCCTTCGCAGTGGTGGTGGTGGTGTCTTCACGCAACAGAACCCACACCCATGTGATAGGAAAGTGCTCTCGACTACACTTGATCTTTCCCAATTGACCTGGGACCTAATCAAGCATTTTCTCTGAGCTAGTGTCCTCAGGCGGCATCTCTGTCGGGGATGGCCAAGTTCTCTAAGGAAGCCTCATGAGGGTCACTAATCTTGGGCCAGCACAGTTGGCCAAACCCTGTCATGATTGGAATTTGGAGGAGGAAGGTAGGCTGTATTCAGTCAGCTCTTCCTATTCAAGGGGCAGCTCAACTCCCCACACCTCCCTTCGAGGGAATCCCGTGCACACTCCAGGCTCGCAGGCAAACTCTCAGGCTAGCCCCATGCACCACTACTGGATCTTCATTCTATAGCCCTCAAAACTAGGAGCTGTCTCCATTGCCTAAGATGGGGGTGGCACCCCTTGCCCTTCTCTGGCCAATCCTGGCACACTGATACCCCTTGATGCCCACTGATACCCCTTCCTCCAAACCCACACTCTTGCAAGCCCTTCTCCTCCCTCCTCCAACACTGCCACCCCCACATTTCCAAGGAAACATTGCCACACCCAAGTGAGCCATCCCCAGATGCTGTATTGCATTGCAGAGTGTCTGATGCATTTCCTGTGTGTCCCAGCCAATGGCCTCCATGGCATGTGGTCCCCCACTCCGTTCCCTCTGCGGGTCACTCACCCATTGGGTGTTGCATGCTGACCACTTCCCCTCCACCAAATCAATGATCTCCTCTATTGAGGGAGGGCAATACTCTTGCTGCCAGGCAAAGAGTTTTTGGAAAGTTTATTCTTTTATCATAAAATAAAACATGCTCTCTGTAAAATACTTGGGAAAATCTAGAAACAGGCACAGGAGAAAATAACTGTTGCCTGTAATCCCGCTTCTCAGGCATTCAGAGATAACCATAATATTTTGATGTATTTCCTCTAGCATTTTTCCCATGACTCCATATTTTCAAGAAAATGTATAGCACTTATTTATCAAAAATGTTAACAGAGTTGTCACAGGAAGGAAAAAAAAAAAAGTAGTGTCATTTGGCCTGGAGTTTATGCTTGGCAGCTCCTGCGGTTGGGGCTGAGGTCACATCTCTGTGACTGTGCCAATCTGTCTCTCTTAGAGGGGAATCAGGTGTCGTAATTGCCAAATGTTGCAGGATTGATTGACCCACACTGGGCCCTAGGTGACCAGCCAGCCAGGGAAATGGCTGGCTGCAGCCCAAGAAGGGGGCCGGGTAGAACAATGCTTCTTAGACGTTGAGATGCACAGGACTTACCTGGAGAGCTTGTGAAAAATGCCAATCCTGACTCAGTGGGCTGGGCTGGAGCCAGAGAGTCTGCACGTGTAGCAGTGGCACAGGTGATGCACATACAGGTGGTTGTCCCGAACCTCGATTTGAATAGCAAGAAGTTGGAGGAGAGAACCTGCTCCCATTTCGTTCAGCAAATAAGTGTTAGCATCCTGCCTTGTGCCAAGTGCTCAGGAGGTGCTTGAGGTGATGGGAAGAGAAAAGGGTGGGTGACACCCTTAGATGCAAGCCCTGAGAGCCAACCTTTTGCCCAGAAGGTGGCCTCAGCAGGCATTTCCTACCCTGCCCTGAGGGCTTTGATGCCCGCAGCACCCCTCTCCACACCCTGGCTTCCCAGGGAGTGACTTCTTGCTGGGCACACTGCCCTGATGTGCTTACAACCATGGAAATCCTCATAGCTCCCCTTCCTCCCTTCAAAGTTTTGATCGTCATGTGACTTGCCCACTGACCTGTCTTGCCGCTATACCTGCCTCTTCTCCCTTACTTGACAAGGCAAAAAGAAGTGGGGCTTCCAATCCCAGCTCACACCATGTCCCCACTTTTTATTTGCACAACTCTGGCTGTGTGCAAAGTGTTTCCATGCCCTCTCCCTTGCTGGGTCCTCAGACAGACTCTGTGAAATCGAGTTACCCATTTTGCAGATGAGGAGCCTGAGGCAAGCAAGCAGGAAAGAAGTGACTTGCCTAAAGTCACATAGCAGGCCCCAAGCACAGGGTTCCAGCTTCCAGTGCTGTCCAGGTGCCAGTACCCTCAAGCAAGGCTCAGCTATCTTCCTCCACTTCCTGAAAAGGTCAGGAGGGCGTGGCAGGCTGTGCAGCACCAGCCCTGCCCTGCCCCTCCCTCGTCTGCCAGGAGCCCTCCACAGGGGTCCAGGGTTTCCAAGGCATGCATGTGAAGAATGCCCCACAGGGTCCACTTGCAGCCAGCCACCAGTTGGTTTGTGCAGAAGGAAGAAGGTGTGGAATCCCTTGAGGGGCGGGTGAAAAATGAAACGGATCTCCTTGGCTTTTGGATTTTTAATCAGAGGCACACGTGGGGCTTGAGGGAAATGATTTCTTTAGGGGGGTATAAATGGGAAGAGAGGCTCAAAGTCGGTGATGGGCTGCTTTAATTTATAATTCTGCCTCTGTGTGAAACACGCAGCGAATCGGGGAGGTGAGGAATCAGTCACCGAGGCTCTGTCATAGCCAGGAAGCATCTGGGCCCTCTTTGTCAGCCTGCTGCTGCCAGGAAGACTGAGACAGAGAAAGGAGCAAAGTGCTGGGGTCTGGGCTGCAGAGCCCCCTGCCTCCTCGGGGCTTGGCCCGGGGCAGCCTGCTAACTCCTTGGAGCTGAGTCTTCCTGGGGACATTCTCAGAGTCAGCTGGAGAGAGTGAGCCCTGTCCAGCCCTCTTCTCCTTCCCTCCTCTTTCTGTGGGCAGCTGGGAAGTACATGGTCTAGAAAGCGGACCAAGGCCTGCTGGTGTGCAGAAAAGCATTGTGGGCCCTTTCTGCCCGGCCAACATAGGCTATCAGGAGGCCTGAGTGGCTGGGGTTGTTTGATCACGTTAGGCTGGATGGGCTGCAGTGTGGACCATCCCACCATGTCAGGGCATTGGGGTTGCACTTGCATTGCCTTCCATAAGGGCTGGAGGGAGAGGGGCTCTGTCAGGGATGCAGGCTGGCAGGGGCTGCAGCGTCTGTACGGCAGTGCCCTCAGGAGGAAGAACTCTCCTTGGCTGCTCCAGCAAGCAAGGAAGGAGACGGTGACTTCCACAGGGCTTTCTGCAGCCTCCATTCCAGTGAGACAGCACCACTTCCACGCCAGCTTCTCTTGCCAGAACCAGTGGATGGCTTCACCTGACTGCAAAGGAGCAGGGAAATAAAGGGGAGGCGGCAGAACATGCCAAGCACAGATGTGTCTGCGGATAGGGAGCTGAGGGACACAACCCACCCGGGCCCATCCCGCCGCCGCCCCTGCCCCCAGCACACGCTTGCCATTATGCACACTGCTGGAAACGTGTGCTAGTGAGTTACACGTTGACTGTTCCTGGGGCCACACCCACAGAATTTAGAAGCAGAAGATCTGGGCTGGAGTCCCAGCTGGGTCCCTGCTGGCTGTATGACCTTGATCAGGTTGACCTTTCTGAGGCTCTGCTTTGTCATCTATCGACCTAGGCTAGCAGTACCCATGCTGCGGGGTTATTAGTGTTACTGCTTTATTTTCCAAAGCTCAGAAAATGGTACAGCAGCGTGTGCACGCATTAGGGCTGGGTGGGGGGCGGGGCTTCTCACCCTTACAGGCAGGATCCTCTGGACCTCAGTTGTTCTGGCCAGTGAGGACGGTGTGGCCATACCTGACTAATTTGCTGTGATGTTGGCAAATTTTACCTCTAGTGGAAATGACTGCACCCCTGGGCCCTCTCCACAGGTAAACTCCCTGCTGGCTTTTACTGCAACTTCGAGGATGGCTTGTGTGGCTGGACCCAAGGCGTACTCTCATCCCGTGTGCCTCGGTGGCAGGTCAGGACCCTGAAGGATGCCTGGTCCCAGGACCACCAAGGTACTAACCCCCTTCCCTTCTCCCTGATGCCCAGGTGGACAGATGAGAGACTTAGGGCCCCACCCCAGAACAAGTGGGCCTCACTCCATGCTGCAGTGCAAGCCCGGGTGCCTGCCCAAACCTTGCACGGTGCTCACCCACAATTCTGGAGCTTCAGAGCAATGAAACCTGGTCAAGGCCGATGGCACCTTTTACTGCCTAAAATGAGGACCTTGAGGAAAGACTGGCTGAGGTTACAGCCACAGCAGTGATAATCCACTTTTTGAACACAGTCGGCTGAGGTCCAACTGTGTGGCAGGCACATAATTCGTTGTAGGCAGGAAAAGCCACAGCCCCTTTTATGACTGGGGAGACTGAGGCAGGGGGAGGCCTTGTGTCAGTTGTCCCATTTGTGCCCTGGGAACCTTGGCCCACATCTGCCTACTTCCTGTAGCCCAGCCTTCTCAGCCCTGTTCCCACGTCCAACCCAAAGATGTTGGCAACCCCTGCCCTTCCCACAACCCCTGCTTGACTGTCAGAGGAGGTAGGGGTCTCCACATACCCAGGAGATGGCCATCGAGGCCGGAGGGAGCCACCTCTGGACTCAGGGACCCTGTTCCAGGCAGGGCATGGGAGCAGAGAAGGTCTGGGAAATGAGCAGGACTGCCAAGGCCAGGCTGCCAGGCAGGCTGGGCCCTCACCCATGGCTCCATCCCAGGGTTACTCCTCGGCAGGCCCTGGTTCCCAGCTCTCTGCAGGTCAGGGCTGGTGGAGGCGTCTCTCTCCTTCTTTTCTCCCCTTCATTCGCCTTCTCTTTCTGCAACTAAAGACCCGCATCCCCAAATCCCCCTTTTCAAGCAAATATTCGGCATTCTATGGATCACTTAAAGAAATAACAATAATAATTAATAGAGAAGACAACAACCAGATCAACCGTGAAGGACCCCAGAGCCCAGGCAGCTCTGTTCTTGGTTTTCAGAGCTCGCTGCATTACAGTGACTCACCACTGGGCTAGGACACTCTCCCAGGGCCCCTTTGGAGAGAAGGCTGAATTACCAAAGCCAGAGACGGTTCTGCAGGGACCCCCCCTATTCCCATATGGAGGACCCGGGGCTCCTCGTCCTGGCCTCCTTGCTCACGCGTCCTCCTGAGCACCCTGTCTGTAGAAGGAACACAAGTGAAGAAAGGTCTGCTCTGGACGTCCCTGCCCTTGGGGTAGTCAGTCATTCCCCTCACAGCAGCTATGGCCTTGTTGAATACCTCTAGTTACAGGGCTCTCGCTGCCTCCTGGAGTGGCTCATGTCCGTGTCTCACAGCTCCGAATCCCAGACCTGTTTCCCTCATGAGGAAAGCTGCATCTCTTCACAAATTGACCATGTATTTTGTCTCCTGGGGCCCAGAGAACCAAACCACCCCCTACCCCACAAAAGCAGCCCTTCAAGCATTTGTGAACAAAAATTGTGACCCATTGAACCACTAGGGGGTTTGTCTGTCCCCAGTCACATAATGCAGCTCCTTGAATCTGCCCTGAGCTTGCCCAGCTTTCTGGCCTGCACTGCTGACTGCACCCTGCACTTGGATTTGTTCCTTGGCTGCAACTCAGTAATAGACTTGACCAAAAGATGAAGAGAGGTAGAAATAAATGGCTACGTCATGCTTGAGGCTCTGTAGGTCCCTACAAAGTTGTGAGCTCACCTCGGCTCCCTTCTCCACTGCACTGACCATCTCCAAATGCTGTGCAGTTCTTCAATGCTTACAGATGCTTCTTCTCACCACCACAGAGGGGTGCAGACTCATGGCCTGCTAGGTTCCCTGGCAGAACGGTGCTGGGAAAACACAAGAAATGAGTCTCCCTGCATAGAGTCTGGGTACAGGTTTACTTGGGCTCCAGAGCAAAGAAAAAGGAGTGAAGGTCATAGAGACCATTGGAGGGCAGAGTGCTGGCATATGTGGCAGTGGGTTTAGCTCCTGGGCTGTGTGCTAAGGCTGGTGACCTGGGGAGATCAGGGATGTAGTGGCCAGATGTGTGGTGCTGGAACCTTGCAGGCAGTTTGCAATAAAAATCCTTTGCCAGAGCCAGGTTTTGGTGACAATGACAAGTGTGCTTTCTTATCCTTACAAGCCAGAAACCAAAGTCTTGAAAGATGTTAGAGGCCAGATAAGAACTGTGCATTGTCCACTATCCCTGCCCCACCTTAGACCCCTCATTTCACGCTGAAGGTGTTTGCCACTCCGGTCCTCTCTCCCCAGGCCACGCCCTGCTGCTCAGCACCACCGACGCCCCCTCATCTGAAAGCGCTACCATGACCAGTGTTACGTTTCCCGCACCAATGAAGAACTCTCCCTGTGAGGTGAGTCTCGGGGACCCTCCGGCCCTGTCCTCTTCTCCCACTCCTTGGTCACCTCCAGATAAACCCACACAGATTAAGGAAATAGTCTGGATGGCCAGGCTGGTTGCTCCACTGCGAGGAGGAAAAAAAGGCCATGTTTGCCATCTTGTAGACAGAGTGCATCCACCAACATGGTAAGGACCCATCTGCAGAGAATCTTATTCAGTGCACTGAACTGTTTGCAGTGGGACCTACATTAAACAAACCCAAGAAACTATTTCCCAGGGGAATCCTTTTCAGAACTACAACTCTTAGAATCTTTTCAACAATTTGATTTATGTAAATTTCAATGAGACAGCAATGGCATTTAGTGACGTGCCTCCAAAGCCACTTACCCAAATGGCTCTTGAAGCTGTTATCTCCTTCTGAGGACTGAAAGACTGGCACTATGTTCCTTAGCATACAGTCATAGTCTCTAAGGGGGTGGAAGGGAGGGCTTCAGACCCCAACATGGCACATGATTAAGCTCATGGACTCTGGAGTCAACTACCTGAATACAAGCCAGGTTCTACCACTGACTGGCTGCACAATGCCTTTGGGATTGAGTTGTTTAGATTCACAGGGCTTCAATTTCTTCACCTGGAAAGTGGAGACACTGTATTTGAACCTGCTACAAAGCAATAAGGTTTATGTAGGTTAGTGATGGAGAGGGCTCGGCAGCCACCCAGAAGAGGAGGCACTGCAGTAGGAAGCCAACAGTGCATACCAGCATTCGAAAGGAGATGGCAGGAAGAGGGAGGGACTGCAGCCAAAACCCAGACTCTGAGCTCTGCTTTGTGCTCTGCCATGCTTTGTGCTGCATCGCACTCCTGGTGGCATCTGTGCCAACACCTTGCACAGAGGAGAAAGCCAGCAGAGTTGAGATCTGGCCAGTGTTCTCTTCCTGGAAATTCACAGGAAAAAAATCCTATCTGGCTTAGTAGCTATGCGCCCTCCGAGCAGCTTATTTCAAGTTGTGGATGTTTTGCAACTGACCGGGTTCACAACCCCTCTTTTGACTGAGAGCAGTTCCTGGGAGGAGGAGCTCTGGCTGGAGGAGGCATAGACAGTGGGATTCTCCCCATTAAGGGAGGCAGTTCAAGCCTTCCAGGTTTCTTGTGCAGTAAAAACTCACTGACATAAAACATGGGACTGGAGAGAATGGAAAAACGATGATTTCTTTCAGTTGGAGGAGTGGTTTACCTGCAGCCTAGGCTCCCGGCGTGGTGAGCAGATAGGACTCTGTGATGCGTGGTTTGTAGTGGTCTGGTTTTATCACTCCACCTTTGCCCCATCTCTCTCGCCCTCATCTAGTTTACGTCCTCTTTCTAGATTTTATGTCTCTCTGTGAGCCACTTTAAATCCTTTCTGGAAGAAGTCTGGGCACAAATAAAGAGATGCAGTCAATTAAATTGTATTTGGGAAACCATGCTGTCTGATGCAGATGGTGGAACTGCACGGTCATTTCTGGTGTTGCTCAGATGCCTCGGAGCAGCACCGAGAAAGGAAGGCTTCCTAACAGACGACCTAAATGGGGACAGATGGCTGGCCCACCTGAGAGGACGGAGGAGCCTCGAGAGCCTGGGCTCTTTTAATTCGCTGTTCGCTGGCTGTCACCCAAGCCCACTTTCAGAAACAGAAATGTCAAGGTGAAAGCGATCTTTTTCTAATATTTCATCATTTCTCTAATAACCTTTGAGTTGATCAATAGCCTAAACAGCTGCTTTGTTTACTGGTCTGTTTTACTTTTCCTCCAGTCGAATGTGCTCTGGGCGATTTCTGCTATTTCCTGCCCTTTTCCCAAACCGGCTCGGGAGGCGTCATGGAGGGAAACGAGTGGGTCCATTCCACATTCACCTTATTTATACTTATATAACTAATACATATTAAATGTATTCACATTATTTCACAACCAGATTTTCAGGCCATCTGTCTAACGCTGGCGGGGCAGGGGTGGAGGCAGGAAGTCTTCGAATCCCCAATGTCAGGAGAAATGTTTTGATGTGAAACACAAATAAGCAACCTAGAAATATACATTTGCAGCTTTGCAAACGCTACTGTTCATCATACTCTCACCCCTGGTGCTGGGGGGGGGAGTTGATTTCCTTCTCCCAGGCCGGCTGAGCTCCGGGGGCAGGGAAACGGAAATTGCACTGCTCTGGGAGACTGTGTGAGATGATCACTGGGGCCTTCAGACCCTCACAGCCCTAGAGGGGCCTGCATTGGCCGTGCGGCCTCCAGGCACGGAGCCACCAGGGACGGTCCCGGATGAGTGTCAGGCCCACTACCCTCGATGGCATTTTCTCTAAACCCAGGCAATCCTGGTCTGCAGGAAGTTGAGTGACTGCAAAGTGTCTGGAAATGCTCCCTTAAAAACTCCACAGCCATCCGTGGATTCTCACGGGAGAACGGCTCACGTCTCTGATGGATTTCCTTCAAGAATGAGAAATGAGCTAACTAGGAGGTCTGCATTTCCCCACCGGCAGTCACCTGGGGATGTAATAAATGTAGATTCTTGGACCCTACCCTGGACCCCCTGAGTGGGGCCTGGGATTTCAAACCCTACCCGCAGTGCTCTGGATTCTCACTGCAACTTGGGAGTCACTGACCGGAGGTGTGCAGCCAGTTGTGCCTGAAATTCATCCTAAGCCCACGCAGAGAGTTTCCCTCTGCTGCCCTGGGCGTGATGCAACTCGCATAATAGATGAGTCGGAGAAGGGGCGGGAAGTGAACCTTTGGCAACAGAGACAGAGGGACGGGAGGGGTTGGGAGAGCTTGTGGCACCAGGTGAGATGCCCACCAATGATGGAGATGTAGCCGGGTACCACTTTTGTGCCGATCCAACCTCCAGGGCATTCCAGAACCACACCAGCTGCCACCACCCCTCTCCAGACGCCTGCAGCCACCAGCGCCACCTCTCAGTGGGGAGCCTTGGCTGCAGGCACTGCCTCCTCCCTCTCTCTGCACAGTGTTCAGGGGACCATGGATATTTCAAGACCTCTGCATGGCACAGCCACAAACAAGAGAGAGCCTCATGGTTTTCCCGGTGCCCCCTCCCTGCCACGAGCCATTCTCTGCAGGAAACCAGGGGAGCCACTAAGAGCATCATACTGACATTATTTTATTTTTATTTATTTTCATTTTGCCGGGCTCCAGTTCAAATAATGCAAGCTGCCATGGGGGAGGGGAGCCTTGCGGTGGCTTGCGTGTGCTGCCTCCCTGTCCTCCTTGGCTCTGAGGCGCTCACGGATGTGTCTGGCACGGCAGCTGCGGCTAATAAAGCGGACGGGAGAGCGGCAAGGCTGGTCTCCGCCCCTCCCCCTGCCTTCGCACATCCTAGCAGCCTGAATGTCTCAACAAGCCCCGTGTGGTTTGAAATTCTATTTTATTTGAATAGCCTGCCTGTGACTAGAATAATTTAGAGCAAGGCCTGGCAGGAAAAAAAAAAAAAAAAAGAAATGGGCTTCCCTTGTTGTCTCGACCATCTGAATCGTGGACGCAGCTTTCCTTCTGTGAGCTGCAGGAGGGCCAGGGGCCGCTGGGAGAGGGTGTGGCCCACCCTCCAGTTTGGACTGGTCACTTCCTGGCTACTGGGTTTCCGACTTTCCTGTGGCTGCACCTCAATCCCCTCCCTACGCACACACCTACGTGCACACGCAGACACACACACACACACACACGCACGCATGCACATGCACATGCCGGGATCCTGAAATACAAGCTGGGACCTAGTGATAAGGAGTTGGCTTTGAGATGCTGCCCGGGGCTACTGAGATCAGGGTGAGAGATGACCAGAGGGGTTCCCCCCTACCCGGTCTCCCTGGGTAGGCTGGCCTGCAGGGAAGGAGATGCACACTGGGTGATCTTAGAAACAGCCCGCGTGGTCCTGGGAGTTGTAGGGAAGGAGACTGACCTCTGGAGTTGCCCTCTGCTGTCCATCACGTTCTGCTCAGTGCCACACTGAGAAGGAGTCTCCTCCAAGGCAGGCAGGGCCGGAAGGCTTGAGACCAGGGGATTCCTCAGCAAATTACTCCCCGATGGATTCTGCAAGACTTCAGGGCACTGGCAACCGTCCTTTGCCTCCAGCCTCACCCTGGAGGTCAGAAAATCAGGCGAGGCTCTTGGCTGTGTTGATGGAGCTTATTCAGACACTCCCCTGCCTCTACCCTGCAGACAGATCCCTGGAACCGTCAGGGTGGGGAAGAGAGGAACTCTTCTGATTGCGGTGGTTTTCGAGTTGGTTAAGCTCAATGGCACAGTCACCTGTGGAGAGACAAGACAAGAAGTCTTGAGGTGGAGGAAATGACAAACACAGAAGTCCCCCCCCCCAGTCCTCATCAAGATAGGGAGTTCATGGTTCGGGAAAGTTCTGTTCAGCCTATGTGATGGAGCAGATCCTGAGTGTCAGGGGCCTCTCTGCCCATGAACTGGGTTGGGGGCCTGCAGGGCTGCCTAGGAAAGGGGAGTCACCTTTCTCAACCTGGCAGGAAAGGAATGCACCTGAAGACCACCCGGTAAATGCCAGACCAAACCCCAGCCTCACGCTCGTTCTCTCACACTGCTCTGCCCAGACAAGCAGTGCCTTCTCCGCTTCGGGGGGACTGCTGTGAGCATCAAAAGCATCAAGGCTGGCCTGGCTCTCACCTGACTCAAGCCCCACCACTCACCACGACTCCCTCACCTTCGGACATGGAAAAGAAGACCACCCCAGTATTCTACTTAGACTCTCTTCGGTGGGACTAGTCCCTGAGTCACCAAGGCAACATTGCTGCTGACCCACGGGACTCACGCCGTTTGTCCATTGCATGTGCCCCGTGCTCCACCGCAGGACCGGCAAGAGAAGCCGGTGACGCCAGGCATCAAGGTGCCCGGCCTGGACCCAGACACAACCAGTGCTTAATTAAGGTGCAGGTGGCTTCTGCTACTGTGCTGCTGCTGTTACTCTGATTATCTGACTTCTGTGCCAATGCCAAGATCAAGCC